GCTAAGCTGAGCTGAGCTATCCTAAGCAATCATCAGCAGAGCAGAGCACACACAACAACATGCTGTGATCTCAGTGTTTTTTAAACACTTGCCTTGTAGCCTCTAAGTCCAGCCTCCTCCTGTAACTTTTCCTGTGTCATATGGATTGATGTTTCCCAAACATGATGACATAATGTGTTTACAACTTGTCTACGTGTTCTCAGACACATCCTGACCTTGGACATTTTTAACTTGCTTTGAGTACCAACTGCAGACAACTTTCCCAGCTAGCAAGCTGTAAAATGACACCGCAGGAGTGGAGAAGAGCCACGAAGGCAGCAAATTTTTTTCCAGTGTAAAAAGGAGTGGCATTTTGCCGCTTCTTTTTGTGCCAGAAAAACACTGGATCGGGGCACATGGTGTGTGGTTGCCATGGCCCCGATCTGGTGAGCAAAAGGGTGGCATAGAGCCCCTCCTTTGTGGCAGTCTGTTTTGCCCCTGTGAGTCCGTATACAATATTCCCAAGCAATTTAACCATAGAATATGTGCAGAATATGGCTGGGTAGTAAAACCAAGCTCTCTCCTGAGGTTTGTTATTGCTGCATATCTGTTTGTTCAATTAAAACAGAACTTATTTTGCTTTGATATGTTTGTGTGGATTTGTTGGTTGAAAATTGCAAAAGTCACTGCTGTCATAACTTGTATTTGCAAAAATGTTGGTTGCATAGTTTGGCTGGTGCTTATTTGGCTACTACATATTTAAGTATCTCTTCAACCAAGACTACCTAAATAAATTACCTTTAAAAAAACCCAATACAGTTATAAAACTGTATGGCTTGGATATATTTCTAAGCTATTAAATCAAATCAGGAGTGCAAAGTGATAACAGTAATAGCATTTACACCATCTCTTCAGTGTACACAACAAAATACCCATGGGTTTGATAAAAATGCTTATCACAGTCCATTGGTTATACTTGTCAGTTAGATAAAGCAGCAGCTGCAAAATAGTTGCCTGAGCCATGAACAAGGCATATGATCCTTAAATGATCCAACCAAAGACTATTTATCTGTATTTCTTTGCTGAAGTGATACTTATTAAAGAAAAAAAACCTATAAAGATCTCCTCTGTATTTTTAAATTAATAACATGATTGCAAGAATGATTGGTTTTATCTCAGGTTTATACACACATAAAATCATAGAATCATTGTTCAAAAGCAATTGTTTTGTGATTCTTAATATTATTTATTGTGTGAAAATGATACACTGAGACTTCACAAAAGGATTTAAGCAGCTCATAAATGAACAAATATTAGAGATAATTATTTGTTCAGTGTCTTTCATTATTTACAAATATATTTTTGCTAGCAAGAAATCTATGGCTCTATTAGGCACCCCTGTATTTGAAATGAGCAGAACCATTTGCTTCCCTCTCAGGAACCACCCACTGTAAATTGTATTTATTTGTTACAGTAGTATTTGTTACAGTAGTAGTTCAGTACAATTGCCATTGTATTTTGTATAGGGCAAATATGGGAAACAGTATCTGTGTCTGTGTGCTCTGAACAAATTTCATTCCCTATGAAATATCCTCTGATTAACAAATGAAAATGATGGGCAGGTTAATAGCTGTGCCTCTGAGCTACTACAAAACTGGACAGGAGTTACTGTAAATAGAGGTAGCTCCTATCTACACAGCATAACACAAATGTTTTGTTTTTGTTTGTTATCTTGAGTACACTAATATGTAACAGAACCCACAAAAGATAGATTGTATCCACTTTATCCATTTTATCCACTTTCAATTATCTGAGAAATTAATCTCATACATTTTGAAGGGAATGCTCAGATGGTACACACCATAGTAAAGGATACTGTATAAATATATGTTGCTGTTATTGTGTAACATCAAGTAATCTTTGGCTTTTGGAGAACCTATCATTGGTTTTTTATACATTGCCTTGCTCTGAGGCTCAGAGAGTGTGACATGCCCTCACCTTGTGGGTTTCCATGGAGGAGCGGGCATTAGAACAATAGAATCATAGAGTTGGAAGAGACCACAAGGGCCATCCAGTCCAACCCCCTGCCATGCAGGAACTCAAAACCAAACCATCCCTGACAGATGGCCATCCAGCCTCTGTTTAAAGACCTCCAAAGAAGGAGACTCCGAGGGAGTGTGTTCCACTGTCAAACAGCTTTCACTGTCAGGATGTTCCTCCTAATGTTCATGTGGAATCTTTTTTCCTGTAGCTTCCATCTGCTGTTCTGGGTCCTATTCTCCGGAGCAGCAGAAAACAAGCTAGTGCTCTCCTCAATATGACATCCCTTCAAATATTTAAACAGGGCTATCATATCCCCTCTTAGCTGTCTCTTCTCCAGGCTAAACATACCCAGTTCCCTAAGTCGTTCCTTGTAGGGCATGGTTTCCAGACCCTTCACCATTTTAGTTGCCCTCCTCTGGACACACTCCAGTTTTTCAACATCCTTTTTGAATTGTGGTGCCCAGAACTGGACACAGTTTTCCAGGTGGGGCCTGACCAATGCAGAATACAGTGGCACTATTACTTCCCTTGATCTAGATACTATACTTCTATTAATGCAGCCTAAAATTATATTGGCCTTTTTAGCTGCAACATCATACTGTTGACTCATGTTCAACTTGTGGTCTACTAGGACTCCTAGATCCCTTTCATCTCCTTAAGCCAGGTGTCTCCCATTTTATATCTATGCATTTCATTTTTTTGCCCTAAGTGCAGTACCTAACATTTCTTTGTCTTGAAATTCATTTTGTTAGCTTTGGCCCAGCTTTCTAATCTATTAAGGTCATTTTGAATTTTCATCCTGTCTTCTGGGGTATTAGCTATTCCTCCTAATTTGGTGTCATCTGCAAATTTGAGAAGCATGCCTCCTATTCCTTCGTACAAATCATTGATAAAGATATTGAATAGCATTGGTCCCAGGACAGAACCCTGTGGCACTCCACTGATCACTTCTCTCCAGGATGAAGAGGAGCCATTGTTGAGCACCCTTTGGGTTCGGTTAGTTGACCAGTTACTAATCCATCTGACAGTTGTATTGTCTAGGCCACATTTTACTAACTTGTTTGCAAGAATA